CAGCATACATGTTGGCAATCAGCTTGAAAAGTCACAATATATTTAAAAAAAAATAGATTCTGACGTCATAGGAAGCCATAAAAATCATTGTATCGTTGATTTAATTAAAATGTAAATATACGGGAAAAAGTAAAAGTTTGTATCGTCTGGAAAACACAGATGATTTTGTGATGCTGAGGAATCCGTGAAACGCAACGTTCAAGTTCAAAGTATTTTATTTTCGTTTCAAACCCATAATATTCATAAAATCACACTACATATCAACATCTAAGAATAAAATTTGTCCAGCCAAAATGACTTATTAGACACGTTAAGATCACAATCACAGAAACAATCACAATCTGATTCAATCATAAAAGTATTAAAATCTTCGCAACTATTATACATGCTTTAGAAAAAATTACACTCTAAAGATCACTGTAGTATTTACAGTCCATTTAATAATGACATTCGTTTTCAACATCAGTATTGCATAATTTACATAATCTATTATTGATAGGGGTTATAGGTCATACATGTCAACGATTCTCATCTAAAATTAAAATAATCTGAGGTTATATAGAGATACTTCGATTGAGTGGTTTTTATCATCATTTTAATCCGATTCCAGAAAGTATGTAGTTATTCATAATAAGATTACCACTACTAATAAACAAACACGGGGCCCCGGTAATCGAGCGTCTTTTTTAATACATATTTTTTTACAATAGAAAAATGAACTACTGAGTGTGTGATTGAAATATTTATCAATTAATACAAAAAATTTCCATTTATAATTGCGGTGGCCATTTTTGGAACAAATCTTGATTAATTTAGAATTGCTTGATTACCCTAACAATATAATGCCTGATACAATCAATACAAGAGGGTCGGATAGGACCTAAAACAGCCGAAATTTGTCAAAATGTAGACTGTTAAAGCCTTAATGGAAACAAAGAAGGAAAAGAAAGGAAATTTGACAACGGTCTCATTCAATGGGAGATATATATATATATAATAATATACAGCATTTGATTTAGCGCCCTATCTAGCTAACATAAGCCACTCTAAAGCGCTTTACAGTACATAGATATACAATCAATACAATTAGCATATACATTAATCAATACAATTTTGAGGAATTCGCAGTGCCTTATCAGGCGCTAACTACTAGTCTAGTCCTATGCCACATGGCTAATATCTCCCTATGTGTGTATGCCTGCGTGTGTGCTGGAGATGTATTGTGTTCTGTTTGATACAGCAAACGACATATTTTCACTCTAACTTATTTGGGTGCTTACCGTGTGTCAGTGCAACCTGAATTTAAAAAAAGATGAAAACAAAGAAAAATATGTTTGCTATCATCAGTAAAAATAGTTTTCGAAATGAGATAAGATACATCCAAATAAGCCCCCTCCCCTCCCCCCNGATTCTTTCTATAATGATATCAAATGACTGCACTAAACAAGATATTCCACGATCTGTTTGTTGTTGGGTCAGTAATAATATCATTAACAGATATCGTTCTGCCTTATCTTGCCCGGGTGATTCTTGTCATTTGTAGGGGGATAACTGGTATACATAAGTGCTAATTCAATCCACGCGCGCCTATAATTGGATTTTCATAGACTTCTGTACCTCGTACAGATCCCCCCTACATCGCCGATAGGGTCTGGGGTTCGCTTTAAACATTATACCTGCACATGCTGTCTGCCAAAATCTTAATTAGCCTTTCGTAATCAGCAAAGCCTGGGCCATATGATATAACCGGTCTGGGAGGAGCAGGGATACCCTCCCCTCGACACATGTGGCGAGTAAGCCAGCTGTCAAAATAAAGACAGATTCTGGTTTTATTTCTTGAAGGTTGTTGAGACACGATGTATCTGTATTGTATGCTATTATAAAAGTGTTTTTGTTTTCGTTTAATAAAAATTAAACAAAATCTTCTTCCGTGGCTTAATCGGTAACGTATCCGTTACGTGTGGGAGAGGTCCTTGGTTCAATCAGCGGCTCCTGATTCAGATGTTTCTTTACCCTACCTAGAGCAAAACTTAACCAAATAAATGGCATTTCTTTCTTTTAAGTATAGAAAAGTGTGAGTTTAAGTTATGATAACTTTTGTATAATCCCTTTGTAATTAATTTAGAATAAAAGGAGATATAATGTCTCTCTTTGTGTTCAGTATATAGTTGGATAGGGACGAAAAAGGGCTGACCTGTGTCATTTGAGCACGCAAAGAAACCAACCCGTAAGGTGTGCGTTAACTGAAAACTGGTTTTCCTCTTTTCCGGTTCTCTTTACTTTCAAAGTTTATCACATAGCTTACATCATTGCCCGTGACCTGTATTGAAATCCTTGGAACAGTTCGAAAAATAAATATATATGTAAAATTAATTTTAGAAGCTGCGTTCTCCATAAACACGTGATATGACATGATATTGTTTATATTTATAAAAACTCGATCTGACAACTTTTAAAAGAGGAAACCGGTGTCGCAACAACCTATGACGTTGCTAAGGTTTGTACAGTAAATCATCAAATCCTGTTATATGTTTTTAAATTTCATACTGTGTCCATGTTTCCATTATTATCATTTAATTACAGATGATAAATCAGAAGAAGGCGTTGATAAGGTGTACTAATTTGTACATTATCATTCACTCTACCAATGGCAGTGAATTGGTTAAAAACTTCCCCACTACGATCCTTCATTCCTATCTCTTATTCCCAATCTTCCAAAATTCTGGTTTCCAGGTATTCAAAAAATGTTAAACTCAATAGCATCATTTTCTGGGAATTCAGAAGACTGTTTATTTGATTGATGACCTCGGGGTTAGCTGGTGAAGCTAACACTTAATACTGTGACTTGTGTGTGGGTTTTTTCCCCCTAATAATTTAGGACATGACACTACGGATTGGTGAAATTCATTTATGACTTTCTATGTTGCCAGAATCCCCGAATTCATGGGTTACACTTTTCGTTTGGTAAATATTGATCAAAAGTACACATTATCCGAAAGCGGTCTGACTGTTATAGTACCAAGGTCTTCAAGTAAGTTCAATGGGACTGTAACAGTGGCTAAAAGCGTACCACACACAAGTGTTATGTTAAAAGTTGCACCGCTTAAAGTGTGAGTGTATAATACCACACAGAAGTGTATCGCTAAAAGTGTAACTGAGAAAGGTGTATCGCTTAGTAGTGTAACCATTAAAAGTGTAAACTTCGGCGAAAACATACACACAAATAACACTATTGAACAAAATAATTTTCAAAACTCGACGATCGCTTCCAACCATAACGTATAACGCCAAGACAACACATAGTTGAGATGCTTTGACCTCACTCATGTAAAATCGTTCTGACCCACGGTCGACCTCCGATATACGGACCGGAAATGAGTGACCCATAGCTGGACACTCGCTGTGACCTGACCTACGGACAAAGTATAGAACATTGTGACTCAGTCCTACATCACAATCTCTGCTTATATTAAACCAGGTTAATGACGTCACGATTTAGACAACATCGTAATCGAATACAATAGATCAGGAAATGCGATTAGGACGCTATAGTCTTGATATAGACCACACCCACTTCGAAATAACGCATGTGGTTAAAGTTAATAAAATTCAAACTGAGATTGGAAGTCTGACGTCATATAATTGAGCGGATCGTGTGGTTCTCACGATTGCATTTTGCATATATAAAATATTTGAATGTTAATAACATTACTACAACTAATAAAAGTATTGGACGTTGTTACAAACCCCTGTATCAGTAATTCCGAGCGATCATATGATACATTTCAATACATCTGGCAATTTGAAAAGCAAAAAGAATCTGTGAAGATAATTTCGATTCAAATGATTTCATTTGAGAATTATTTCAATATTTTACAGACTTGTTTTCAAACTTTGTTCCCTTTCCTCCCTAATTGCCGAAACGGTTTATTATGTAACGCCTTAAAGCAGTCAATCTAATTAAAATAAGAATTCCGCAAATTACAAGTTTAATTTTAATTGGACTGTAAAGCAGTGGGTGATTTACTACAGATCCGATGTTGGCTTACAGAAGTATGATGCCGTGTTAGCTCACATTGTGTGTGTTTATATGTGTCCAGACATATGTACACACATGTGGAATCAAGTATTTCAAGTACTGGGCAATTCAATTCACAGATTTCTATCTAAACATCTTAAAGAACCTCACAGTTGTGTGAAAAAACGACCCCTTTTACGCTGACACTTACGACGGTGTTACGACCCTGTAGGGAGCTCTGATGTTCTGTTTACCAAAGATTTTTACTTAGATAACATAACGCTGAGACGTGATTGCGCAAATATTGCATCTTCTGAAGCTAGACAGTGTCGAAAACTCGAACGGAGGAGTTTTAGCCACTGTAAGTAGACGGTGTTATGTTGTCCCAGCCAAGCCGAAAACATGTTTTTTCGCCTCTCATTATGTAACGGAAGTCATTAGAAAAGTGCTACTTTAGTAGTATAATAAGCCTTATATCTCCCCTTTAAAACGTGGGCTCGGCTATACGCCTTTGCAAACAAAAGCATATTAGGCCGTCAAAATTAATCCAACGGAAAAGCGATGAAAAATCGTCTCTGTTGTTTGAAACATTGCATTGCAGACGAGTCATCGATGTGAAATGTTCGACGATATTCCTTCTGTGATGAAACTTTACCGACAGATGTAAGTTTGTCAATCAGAACCGATACCGTAGCAAACACCTACTGGATTGTATACGCGCGTGCTTGTGCCATGTAGTAAGGGCGGAGGAACGCGCGATGAGTAGATGTTGATGAGACGGCCAGAATCGTAATACGGTACGCACACAAACACACACTACAGAATATATGTAAGAGGGGGAGAGGAAGCCGGCTCGTCTTACACCCCCTCCCCTAATATGGAAACGAGGATGCGCAACGAGAGATGTTCGTAGCACGTGGTCCGGTTTATCAGCACTATCAACCGTTTGCCCAGACTCGCTCGGGTTTTCCCGAACAACCAATCTGAAACGCGATTATTTATAAAACACCCCCTGTTTGGACTACCGGTAAAAATACACATGGTTGCATGCGTGTGCAGGAGAGGTTAGCCACCAAGGGTCTTAAGAAAATACCTCTCTTTTCCTATATATCTTGGAGTAGTGAGAGATACCCGGGAACTGTCTGTGTGTTTGGATTCCGGAAGGAGGGACCTTCCACCATTTTTGTTTGATTCCAGAGACTGACATCTAACTAAAAGTAAGCAAAATGTTCGTTATACTTAATCTCTGTGGAATGACGTTTTAATACATAGACGTATGGCTGCAATTTAAGAGAGGGAATGTGTGGGTTATCTATATTTATTCTCAATATATAAAACAATGTAATATTACTTTAAGATTGTATATTGTTGTGAATGATATACTAAAATTTTATCTCGGGATGGGCTGTTTTGTTTGACCGTTGTCCAGTCGTTAGGACCATCTGTTTGTGTCTATACTGGCTGTACCGGCTAACCTCACGTGTGGCTACCTCTAGGCGGAACTATTTTAACATGTTTTGCATTCAAGGGTGAAGGTCACTTCGACTAAAACAGGAAGGGAGCAATTGAATTATACTAAAGGTCTTATATAATATAACAAGTGTTAAATGTATCGTATAAAAACAATTTGTCGGTTATTTAGATTAATATTTCTCACTTCCGGTAATTTTTCTGCACTCAATATCGTATATCTTGTAAATATTTCTATCTTTTTAAAAAGTAAACTTGTGTAAAAGGCACGTACAGGTACATCTCATTTCCGAGTAATATGGGATTCATCTTGACCGCTTGTCACACCGAACGTTGCAGTTTGACTATTTACCTGCGAGTTACGGTCACCTGTTAGCCGACACTACCCGGAAGTCTCCATGTATGTGAGGAAGTTGGCGTCGATTTCATTTGCTGCGGGGTGACTTCCCGTGGTGCTGAACGGTAGTCATTGTTCCAACAGATTGTCTCGGTAAATACATGAATGCCAGCACCTGTTATTTCCTCCATTTTTACTTTCGTGTGTGTCTGGACTTGCGCATAGATTAATTTTCTTGGGATTGATCCCTAAGAATGGCTAAAATGAGTTGGCGTTGGGTCAAGCAAATATTTATGGTGATAATTGTCTGTCATGTTATTTTGAAAATAATAACATATGCCCCCCCCCCCCCCCCCCCCCCNGCCTTATCAGGCGCTAACTACTAGTCTAGTCCTATGCCACATGGCTAATATCTCCCTATGTGTGTATGCCTGCGTGTGTGCTGGAGATGTATTGTGTTCTGTTTGATACAGCAAACGACATATTTTCACTCTAACTTATTTGGGTGCTTACCGTGTGTCAGTGCAACCTGAATTTAAAAAAAGATGAAAACAAAGAAAAATATGTTTGCTATCATCAGTAAAAATAGTTTTCGAAATGAGATAAGATACATCCAAATAAGCCCCCTCCCCTCCCCCCCCC